TTTCCACATATGAATTTAGGGATTTATTTATGCTTAACTGATTCCTATTTAAGTCTTATAATTTTCTCTGTTATATCCATTGTTTTTAATAAGTGAAATCCATTCTAAATTCTCATTTGCATAGATATGAAAATAAAAGAGAGAAAATTGATCACATGTGTGACATTCACACAAATGCAAGTTTATTGATCACACATGAATGGTGTTGTTTGTCACTTGTAAACAGTGAAATTGCATTTCAGTTTTAGAATACTAGTCATGCCATGGACAGTCTATCCCAACTAGCTATAAGCAAATCAGAGAGTAAATTTAGAAGAAGCCATGTCCTGTACATACATAGGAATGGCCTCATTAACAATATGTAGCTTCTTTCCTTTGCCTAACAAAGTGTGCTAATCCATGAGCCCAAGTATTTCCTTCCATAACAGATAAACTGAAATGAAGCAGCCAAACATTGGGAAGAGAAATAGATGGTTGCTCTAACATATAATAAGACCACCTCTAATAGCCCCCAAATTTTGATTCAAAATTAAACAAACCTAGTTGCCCAGTTTCTGAATGTGAAGGCCTAGTTTATAAGAGCAGGATTAGCATCCAGTACTAGAACCTTTTTAAACTATTCCCATTGCTTAATGAAGCTAAAAATAAATAAAAATTTTCTTTTCCGTCAATTCTCTGTCATCAAACACTATATGGTTCCACCAATGGCACTAACCCAAATGCTATAAGCTCGATCTCTTCCCCAAATGGGGAAGTTGAGTGTTCGAGCCTTAATGGGGGGCATAATATCTATATTGGGTGTCTGAGTTTGCTTGAACTTTCAAGAAAAAAAAAAATAATAATAAAACTAACTGGTTCCCACTTCTCCAAAGAATTTTTAACTTCTCTCAACATCAGTTCTGATTGGACTCATTTTTCACACCTTTAAAGCTACTGGGCATTTTAGCAACAAAAGAAATGCTCAATAGATTAATGTTCAAGCTAGCCTTTGCACACAATATCCACTTCAATCCCTTTTTTCCTCAAATTTGTCAAAATTGGAATTTTTCTTTGGTTGAATGTACCATAACTTATTCCAAGAATTTGTCACAACATCAGTAGCAGCTTCCACCTCAGTAGCATACTGAATATGTCTCCTGGATTCACAAGAAAGCCCCATCAGATGAAAAAGCCCAATCCTTCATGTCTCTGTTTAAAATGTCACTGATAGGAATTCAAAGTAGTACCCTCTAATGATCTTACATTCCGACCATCTCTTGGTCTATAAATCTTAAGCTCAGAATGAATTGGGCTAGCCAATGGACATTGAGAAGTTTATCTTGAAGTCAGATGCATCTGGGTTCCAAGCATCAGTCCAGATATTGATCATGTGTCCTTGAGGCAACTCTATGTGTCACTCCTTTTCTCAACACATTCTGTTTAAGGGGTTCGTTTGGTAACCGTTTTTGCTTTGACTCAAAACAGAAGCAATGTTTCTGCTTTAAAGTATGTTCAACACTATTTCAAAGCTTGTTTGGTAACGTATATTTTTTACAAGTTTTTTAGAAGCAAAAACATGAAACGTGCTTGGTAAAAAGTGTTGCAAGTTTAAAAAATTAAATGGCTAATTAAAAAATGTCATTTTCGATTTTTTTTTTTTTTTTTTTTTTTTTTTTTTTTTTTTTTAACAGTGTTTTTGCTATGGTGCAAAACCAACCAAAAGTATCATTTTTATGCTTCCGATTTTGGTCTCCTTTTTGGAAGTGTTTCGATACTATTCAAATGCGTTATCAGATATATTTCATGTTTTTGCTTCGTTACAGTACACTAATAAAAAAAAAATAAAAAAAAAACACATAGTAAAAGTCCAAAGATCTAGTAGTCCTCACTCTAGTTTCCAAAAAGGAAGTTTGTGGGAAATATTTACACTTTGAAAAGAAGACTATCCTCAGCTCCCATTCTCCAAATCCCAATCTATTTTGTTATTTTTTAATTTTATATTTTATATTTTTATGACATGGGAATACTCGTAACTACTTACTCTTTGGACTTGTAACTATCAGGTAAACCCCCGGCTATTCACCCCGACCCCACAATGTAAGCAGCATTTTAAGTTAAGGGTAATAATGGAGATGGACGGGTTCGAACAATCTATGCTGTTACTTGCTTTTTCACTGAATGAATCATCCAACCAAGCATAGCTTCATGCACTTGATAAAATAAAAAAATACATAAATTTAAAATTTCTACTAACATGACAAATATACATTGTTCAAATCAAAATGCAAACAAGAAAAAAAGTTTATTGTAAAATAATATGCTAATCAAGGACTAATATAAGAAAGAACCAAAATATTGATTGGTAATTAATATTTTCATTAAATACAATTACAATTGTTTTTAATGGTTCTTTGTATTTTGAAAGCTAAAATTACACACGTTGAGTTCATAAAATTGTAGCAATAGATTTATATTAGAATAAGATTAAAAAAAAAAAAAAAAAAAAAAAAAAAAAAAAAAAAAAAAAAAAACAGAAGAAGAAGAAAGAAAAAGAAAAATGAAAGAATTTTGAAGAAAAAAAAAAGGGTTTGATTGAAGATAGAGAATGTAAATTTTTTTATATATATAAAAGAAAGAAAATTAAAAAAATTTGAAGAGTAAAAGAGAAAAGCAAAAATAAATTAAATTAAGAGATAATTTTAGCAATTGGTTTTTTTTTTTTTTTGTTTTGATTGCCAAAGAGAAACTATCAAGAAATAAATTAATGTATTAATCAGTGGTCGGATTGATGACTTTAATTATTCAATAGTTAATTATGTATAAAGAATTTAAGTTACAATAGTGACTTAGTGGTTTATTTTACTATCCGAGTAGAGTGTAATTAATTTATTTTAGTAGAGTATAAATTAATTAAATTGAGTTTGTCGTTGTTGGACCGGTCAGTTATTAATTTATTGGAGGCAAAAATGTTAATAAGTCCAAGATATTCTCTCCCATAGCCCATAATTGATGTGATGACCATGAGTTGGAGATAACATTTTTGTGTAAAGATTAAAAATTACCACACGTGCCTTTATATATTATGTGGCAATGTATTGAGGAAAAACATTTGTGCACTATCAGTGTGATATATAGATGAGATATTGTGAAAAGTGTTACTTTAACAAAATGTATTTTTTATTTATATACATGTACCGAGTGTTAGTAAAAAAATTTATATCAAGAGTTATTGATTTTTATTTCATATATACAATTATTTCATTACTTCGTCATAATAGTATTTTTATTTTAAATAAACAAATAATATTTAATATTTCGCTTGTGATCATACATGTATAATGTCAATTTTTCTTAAGAAAAAAAATTGTTCAAAATTATCGGGTAAACTTGTGTTAGAAATATTTGATAGTGTCAGTTTAAGTATTAAATAAGTGTGTCTGAAAGTATCGAGAAAATGTTCAAAATAATAAAAATTTATTTTTATTTATAGACACGTCTTCGAGAAGTGTCCGATGAGTGTCGATGGCCGACATAAAGAAGACACGAATACGAGTCCTTAACAGAAATATCGGTACTTCATAGCTTACATACCATTTGCATACGGTCATATTTATAACACAATAAAAATAACTTGTAATTTTTTAAATCATCCCTGCATAGATATATACTTTCTCTCTCTGCATTATAGTTTGATGTTCCATCTCTAAGAAGCTCCTGCAAGCTTAGAGCCTCCAAGTTTTTTTTTTTTTGAAAAGTAAAGTTAAATTGATTAATTTTAAGGAAGGCTAAATAATACAAGCCCAGCCCAAAAGGCGGCCCAACTCCAGAATAACTAACTAAAAGGAAAATAACAACCTCCAATGGAGGAACAAGAAGGGAAGCGTGACTAGAAGCAGACCACAATCCGGTATACAGCAGGAACTGCGGCGAGGTGGTAGTTACACCTTCCTTTGACTAATCAAGTGGATTCCTAAAGCCGACCACCAATATGGTGCTCTAAGGAAGAAGAATAAGTTAAAAGTGGTCTTCACAAGAGAGAACATTATAGATGTAAGACTTTCTAAGACTTGAGGTGAGTATTATTCGAACTCTTATACCTGAATCATCTTTTTCTTGCATGAAAATGAACTCTATAAATTTTTTAAAATCTCCATTTCCCTAACAAACCTCTTTATAAGGAAAGAGTTTATACCATTTAAATTATAATGAGATGTTCAAATCTTATACTCTGTACTTTTATACGAATGAATTTGTAAAAGAAAATACAATTTTTTTTTTTTTTTTTTTCCTAAATGATGGAATTTTTTTATAAATATATCAAAGGAAATACAATTACACGAGGATTAACCTCAGACAATTTTAATTTTTTTAGTTAAGTAAGTCATTTGGAAAGATCTTCCCCTCACAAACTCTCTCTACCCTTTCTATATGCAACACACTCCTTCCCCTCCGTTTTTTCTCCCTGCTCCCTTCTATGGGAGTGGGGAGGTGCCGTTTTGCCTCCCACAGTTTCACTAATCCTATTCTTTCTCTCATCGCAGTCGTTGAGGGTCTCTGTGAGCAGAGTCTATCTTGTTTCATCTAGAGTTTGTGTTTCTCGATATATTGTTTTGCGCCGTCTCAGAGGATCAATGTTTCCTGAGTCGTCGGAGATGGATCTGTATAAATGATTCTTTATGGAGCTTATATTTTTTGGAGCAATTTGTGATGGGGAGTGGATCTGATGCATCTGAGCACTATGCCGAAGTTCGACATCTTTGGTGATTGCGATATTGTATTCGGTTTCTTAATGGATCTGTTTCAGCGGTCGATTTATGGTTTTTTGGTGGGTGAACTCTTGACGTCATGGTTAACGTTTTGGCATAATATTTTCGATGTTCTCTTTTCGTTGCTAGTGGGCCCGGTCCTTGGTTATGATCTCGACATTAATGAGTGTTAGGTTTGATTTGGATAGTTTTGTTTCTTTTGGCACTGTATGTGTTTCTTTATTTTATATATGGTCTAATGTTCTTACCTAACGCTTATCTTGCCAGGTAAACACGAAAAAAAAAAAAAAAACCAAGGTGTTCCTCAGACAATTCTACCCTTAGAGAGGTAGGAAGCACCTATTACAGATACAGCCACAAAAACTCAAATAATATCCTGGAGGGGTACCCCTAGGCCCTATAATACATTTGACCAACACCATAGGCTGTCTAGCATTTGCAGAATGAATCCCGCAACTCCTCTCATTCCAGAGATAATACAGAGTAGCAGTGAATACTACCCACCGAACCTTGTTCTTGAAAGAAATTAGCAGCTAGCTGCATTACCAGATTTGTTACACACCTCTTGTATCCCAACTAAGAAGCTCCCGTAAACCATTCCAGACCTCCGTAGTATACACACATTGACAAAAAATATGGTCTGAATTCTCCACATTTTGAACCCAAGTTGTATACTTTTTGGATTTTTACTCAACTGAGAGCCACAGAGTTGTACTAGGGTTTACAGTTAATTTCTTTTACAGTTCAATTCAAAACTAAAAATTCCCTCTTCTTTTATTTTGTTGCATTTTCTCAGTAACCAAACAGACACTAGGGTTTTAAAGAAAGGCGAAGTGAGAATGAACACAATCGCAGAGACGGTGTGGAGGGACATCGGGTCAACCCGTTTAGGACCTTCTCTATGTTCGCTTATCTATTACAAATTCACATTGTTTAATTTCTCTCTTACTGGATACTGATTGTTATAATCTCTGTGTGTGTGTGTGTGTCTCTCTCTCTCTCTATATATATATCTGCGGCGTCAACATCTATTGATTTGGAACGGAGCAGTAACCGATGATCAGCTCTCCATGTTTGTATGTGCTTCTCTATGCGTATTTTGCCTCAAATCATAATTGATTATGAAGCATCAATTGATGTTTACATATAAATTTATTGCAATATGTGTGTGTGTGTGTGTGTGTGTTTCTGTATCTGTATTTTTCCTCAATTATAATTGATTATGAAGCGTCAATTGATGTGTTTCTGTATGTTTGTTTTTTGCCTCAATTATAATTGATTATGAAACATCAATTGATTTTTAATTGCAACATATACATACAACATATATGTATATCTATATATCAATTTCAAACACTAATCATTTGCCACGTTATATATTCATATATATGAAAATGAAAATCTGATCTAATTTACTGCTTTATATACGACTTACACTTTTTTTTGGGTAAAAACTTGGAGAGAGCGACTAGGATAGTGGATCAACGAGGTGTGAAGAGGATATCTGGTGAACCCAGTGGGTGTTCCGCCTTTGAGGTTGATTGTGTACCGTTCCTTCCACATTTTGTGAACATAGGTTTTAAGTGTCAGCCTTTAATTGCACAAATTGAGATTTTATTCCACACCCGGCTCAAAATTGGAGTTCATTTGCCTTCAAATTGTGAATTTTTCAGTGAAAATACAAAACACTTTTGAAGGTTTAATTGGGTTTTAACTTCTATTTATTTGCTTTAGAAATTTGAGTTAGACTTTTATTAATTTACCTTGATTGACAAGTGATTTGGAACATTGCTTTCGTTTTTCTTGCAAAAATAAGGTAAATTAAAATTGGGTTGTCATTTATATACTCTGCTTTAGGTTGTGGGAGAATCTCAGAAGAAGGAGGAATATTTCTGCTTCACGGAACACTATTGTGCTTGTTTTTCATTATTCTAAGACATTGTGAACAGAGGAGAACAACTTTGTGTGAGTTTTATATGTCTTCTTTTAGTTCTAGTTACATTTGTCATTTGTTGGGATTCTCTATTTTTTTGTGTTGGTAGCAGTATAGTGCACCAAAGCCATCGTATTGTCTGCCAAGTTTGTTAAGATTTCACTAGAGATGCTTACAATCCTCAGTAATGTTTTCTCCATTCTTGAAGAGATGGGAGGAGGGTGTGCATTCCTTGCGGCAGCGACTTCAGATTCTCACAACTCCCAACAAGAAAGAAGGTCATATTGAGAACGGGTAGTCCTCCTAGGGCAAAGGATACCATTCTAGGGCAATCCTTTATTCTTAACAAACTCCATGAAAGCGTTGGGAAGAAGCCTAACAACAGTGACATGAGAAGATCACAACTTTTGGTTATCTCCGAAACAGCAATGGATGTGCGGTGGCTATGCTCCATCTCCTCCGGCAGGGGAAACTCTAAACTTCTACAACCCTGTATCAGAAGTAATTTCAATGTAGGAGGAGGTAGATCACCAAAGGGGAAAGACACCTGAAGAAGAGATGAACAATTATAGGTGTGCAACTCTTCAAGGCAAATATTGTTGATGGCCATCATCATATTCATATTCATTCTCTCTGCTGATGATGCTACTGTTATGGTCTGTAGAGCATCACATTCATTGATAATTAGAATCTTAAGCATCAGCTCCCACGTCCAAATTGCATGAGTCTCGGACATTTCTCTATGTCCAACTGTTCATGTTTTATTAATCTGGGACATTCCGGAGGCAATTCCTTCAAGTTTGGCATCCTTGAAATCTCCAATTTCTAAAGAGAAGACAGTGTTTTGCAATTCTGGCGGCAATTCTATCAAGTTTGTCATCTCTGACATCTCCAATTCTTGAAGAGAAGGCAGGCCTTGTAGAAACAGCCCAACTTGATTGGACAGGAGCCTTTGACATTTGAAAATATCAAGTTTCCTTAGAGATGGAAAGCGGATGGATAATTCACCGATCAACTTGGGACAATCAACCAAAGAAAGCTCTAAAAGGCAAGAGAACTCTCCAGCCCCTAATGCATGCCATTCCTCCCACTCTTCCATTTGCTTAAAGCTTAGTGTCTCTGGAGATTAAAATGGTTTGATCGAAGAAGAAGGCATCCCCATAGAACTCTCGACCCACATTTGTTATTGCTTTCATTCCTTCAATTCTTAGATATTTAGAGAGGGTAGCTGCCCAATTGATGCCAATGAATAGCAATTTGCACGGTCTATAAGTTCTAAGGACACCATGTTGCAAGATAAATTAGCTCCCTATGACCAATCCGGAAATTTTGTGCTCCCATAGTTGAAGATGCTGAGAGTCTTCAACCCTTCATGAGGTTGTAGCTTGTCAAGTACATCTCTTTCCCTTATTGAATCATCCGTATCGCCACCCCATTTCAATACTAATCCTTCAACATGTTTCTTGTTGGTCTCTGATGCATCCTGACCACTTACTACATTTTCCAGCCCTAAAATATTGAGTTTTCTCCTAAGATGGCAGAGTTCCTTCAACCCACTAATCCTTGACTCATCATTCTTGCAAACTACAAAATATATTAAATGCTGGAGATCTTTCAGCCTGCTCATTTGTGTTGGAATTTCAACCATTCTAGTTCCTTTGACATCAAGATGACGCAAGTTTATTAGTTTTCCCATGTTCACAGGCAAATCAGTCAGACATTCACAATATGAAAAATCAAATATTTGTAAATGGCACAAGATTGTTTCAGAATTAGGTAACTTCTTGATTCTTGTCTCAGAAAGATCTAAATAGCGTAAATGTAACAAATTTTTTTGAGGCAATTTAGAAATCTGATAGTTTGACAAAGATAGAACCTTTAAGCATCTCAAGATTGGGAACATATCATGTAGTACCTTATTGCCTGAGAAACAATATCGACATCCGGTTCTTTAATATGACATGAATGTGCTCAAACGCTTAACCTCACTAATAACCTTGAATTCTCAAATGCATCTTACCACAAACATATGAAAAATGATAAACTTTTTCAAATATGTGAACAAATGGCTTGTCATAATCTAGCCTAGAATAGTTGTCAAAAAAAATAATCTAGCCTAGAACGAAAGCCTCAAGACATATCTTGTGCTAAGTCATTGATCAAGTCCTGCATTACAAAATAAGAATTGGTGACAACTTGACTTAGTCTTTGAAGAAAGACCTCGATAATAATTCACGAAAGTAGTTGTTACCTTCATCTCCCACGGAATTGTTGTTTATAGGTTGCTGAACAAGATATAAGGCTATCCATATCTGGACTAACCTTTTCTTTTCAAATTTGTGATCTTTTGGAAATATCGAACTGTAAGCAAAGCATCGCTTTAATTGCGAACCAAGATAATGATAACTCAATTTTAGAGCTAGAGGAATGCTACAATCTAAACCCCATATCTCGTGTTTTAATATATCTTCCCATTCTTCAGTTTCCAATTTAGACCGCAAGAGACCTTCAGGTGATTTTACTGCAAAAGGTAGGCCACCACACTTGTTCACAAATTATCTTCCAATACTCACTAGCTCAGGATAAGCCATGCAATCTCCATTCACAAATGCATGCTTTGCAAAGAATGTCCAACAATCTTCAAACGACAATTACTCCAAGGGATGACTAGGAATGTGCGCATTATTGACTCCACTGCTTGTCGTTACAATGATCCTAATTTCCTGTGCTCCAGCTCTTAAAGGTCTTCTTAGTGTGTCCCAATCAATGTAATTGTCATTCCAAACATCATCTAAATCATTTAGAAATTTCTCCTTGCCACGTTCTCTTTCAACTTGGTCTAAAGTTGATCGAGACTCTTGATGTCCTTGTTTGATGAGGTGACATCGTAAAAAAATTTCTTTGTTATCATGGAAATATCAAATATATCAAAAACACAAACCCATGATTTAACAGGAAAATTGTCATTTATTCTGTATCATTGTATACAAACTGGGTAAGGGTCGTCTTGCCCATCCCTCCCATGCCAACAATGGGGATCTCATTCCCAGTTGTGTTGCTAGACAACAACAATTGAATTTTCTTCTCTTTGTCTTCCTTCCTACCACATACCTCATCTTCATATACCAAAGATGAGGTTGGCAGTGATGGTTTCCTTTCAACATCATCTCTTAATTTAAGAGATTTTTTTTTTTTTTTTTGCTAAAAATACACTCCAACTTACTAATGATCACTTTTATTGAGGACTCAATCTCATCATTAGACAAATAAACGGAAGTCGAGACCAATGGATTGATGCAAAATAAAGATTGCTTGATCAAACTTAAAAATTGACTGAAACCAACCTATTTTATGTTGCTTTGGGTTAGGGACTGATTATGATCAACTTCTTCCAACTTGTCCCTTAGGGCTTTGTTTGCAATTTCATCTAGCAAGCCGTCAGCTTGGTGGATAACATGTTGAAGCTCCTTGAGCCATGCTTTCACAGATTTGTTGTTGATCTGCTTGTTGTCCGCATCATCCAGGAGTGGTTGGAGGGCTAACAAGGTTGTCTGCAGCTTGTTTCCGAGTCCATCATCAAACGTCCGTTTGGACAATATGTGTACGAGCTCGCGAGAACCCAACCGATCAGATAGAATTTGAAGGAAAGCTGAAACAAATGCTCCACCCACCACTTCTCCAGTAATGTTCTTTTCTTCTCGAGAGTAGCTATAAAGAGGGAAATTAGCTGTGAAGAAGAGCTCTTAGATCTAGAAAGAGAGATCAGATATACTTAGCAGTGCGAAGAGCCTTTAGAGTGAAAGTGAGATCATGGTAGTGAAGAGCCTTTAGAGACCAGAGAGACTTATGTGAGATATAAATTTTGTAATTGTCCAATTTCGTTGTCAAAACGTGTCTGATTGAGTTGTAATTTTTGTTTTATTTTGAGTCTTGATGTCGGAAGCAAAATAACAAGTGCACGCATACTTCGATTCGGTGAGAACATCATTTAGAACAGGTATGCGCGTGAGGACACATTGCAAATATGTATTTTAGGTTGGTGGAGACTGCATTGGATTTTTCAGGGTCAAAACAGTCTTATTTTTGCTCTTTGTAAAAGTACAACCGGTTGCACTTTTAAACAGAACTGGTTGCACTTCATGCAGAGCAAATTGCAGCTCTCAGCCAAAATAGAATCGGTTGCGTTTTCCTGAATGTGCGATATTTTAGTTTTGCTAACTTTTTAGTTTCCTGATTTACTGAAACTTTTAGAGAAGTCGTCGTACGATTTTAAAACATCTTTCTATATATTTTGAGGACTCTCTAGTCTATATAAACCTCTCAAATTTCCACCCTTGTTGGAATTTTTAATGCTTCAATTAGGAAACACAAGGATTCATCTTTTTCACAATTGTTGAAGCTTTTTGAGAGAGATTTTAGGAGAAATTTGATTTAGATTTTTGAGAGCACACACTTAAACACACGAGTGATTTATGGTGATGTTCTTAATCTGATCGGATCAATACTGAAGATTCAAAGGTTGCATCCAGAAGTAGGGTTTGATCTTCAACTACAATTTCAAATCAAGTTGAAAGGAGGAATCAATCACACTACGAAGGGGTCGGAGCATTTGCAGAGTGTTCGTGATCTACCAACAATCCTTCTACAAGGATCAAGGTAGTAAGCCTAAAATCTAGAGCGTTTGGACGGGGGAGTCGCAAAGCCAGAGAGATATTCAACAATTGGTTCTTGGTATAGCGGATTTGGTGTAAGCCTGAGTCAGAGTCCATTGTACTTTGCTTCGATGATAATGAACCCACTCGATATTGCGAAAATCTTCGTGGTTTTCATCCCAGTTGGTCGGATTTCTTCCAACAAGGGTTCTATGCAAAAATCCTTGGTGTCATGTCTCAAACTTTATTTGCACTTTAATTTTTTGATGTTCGTTTTATTTTGGTAAAATTAAAATAAGCAAAGATTGGTAAAAAGAGCAAGTTAAACCTGTTCACCCCATTCTAGGTTATTTTTACATCAAACCTCCACATCCATTCCACATAACGCAACTCATAGTTGGTATCAGAGCTGGTTTTCTAAACAGTGAGTTGTTTCGTATGGAAGTCCTTTTCAAAAATAAAAATTATTTTTTATTTAAAAAATTATCATGGAAAATCCCGTGAGACAGGGTGAATTAAATTCTCGCTTGGCTAGGAAATTCAGAAAATCTCTAAGGAATGAAAAGATTGAAAATTTTAGAAAAGAGAATTTTTATAAATTTCATAGTTGTGGAAAAAGTATTATCATCTATAGGAAAGAATAGGAAACATAAAAGAAAAGAGGTACATAAATTGCTTCAGGAGACCAATGTTGAATTTCAGAATCTTCAGGGTAAGATAAGAATTTTCGAAAGTGAGGTAAGTCAAGCTAATTCTGCTAGAGAATCTCTTGTTGCTAGAGTTGCTTTTATTGAACTTGAATTGAAAAAGTCACTACAGAAATTGATTGCTTCTACTTCTGGGCAGATTAAGCTTAATGAGATGATTAGTGTTTCTGTAGGACAGAAGAATGGATTAGGTTTTGATGAGGCTTGAACTAGTAAGAAGGGTCATATTGTTTTTGTTAAACCCATGAACATGAATGTGCATATTTCTAAACCTAAATATGTTGTTGACCCTATGCATGCTAAGAATGTGTACACGATGTTTTATTGTTCTTATTGTGGTATAACTGGACATAGTCACGCTATAAAAAGAAAATATTTTTTTCTTGAATTTCATGGTTATAATTCCTTTGCACAAAATAGTTTTCATGCTAGAAAGTAAAATAATTGGAATAAACCTAGAAATTTTCATGCCAAAAGGAATTCAAATAAGAAAAAGAATGCTCTTGATGTTCCTTAAAAATTTCTTCACAAGTTGAATGTTAAAACAAATTTGGATGAAGAAAGAGGATTTGAAGTTGTATGTGCATGTTGATGCTATGGGACTTATTTCCAATAGGTGTATGGGTGCAAACCCCCCAACTAGATTGTAAGGAGTTTTTATGGTTATGGACTGTGCTAAGATGTTTATTTTGTTTCCATTGAACCAGATCTTGTATTTTAGGATAAGGTTTTTATTTTATTATTTTTTATTTTATGAGAATGTGAAGATCATGTTTTTCTTTGTTTATACATGAGTGATATTGATTTCTCTTAAATTTATTATATCTTTATAAATGCAAATTGGGACACATGATTATCTGATGAATGAAATTCTTGATGTGTAATCTATACTTATGAAAATCAATTTGCTATATTTATCTATTTTTAGAGACATGTCTCTTAAGTTCATATGTTTGAGCACTAGTCCTCAAGTTCATATGTTTGAGCACTAGTCCTCCAACTCTGAGAAAATTAATTGAAAATCATTGAGAAGTTGATTAGATCACATTGTTTAGAGAAGCTATAAAGGTTATTGCTAAAAAAAAAAAAGGGCATATATTTATAAAAAATAAAAATAAAAATTTCAGCATGAAAAAAAGAAAAGAAAAATCAATTGATGTGCTGAAAATCTTTGCTAAGGAAAAGGCTACCTATTGAGATTAGTTCGAAAGCTCCTAAGACTTTGAAGTGAAGCAAATTGAGTAAAAAGAAAGGAGGAGACAAGTCAAAATAGGGAATTGCTGTCTACTCATTAGAGTGAAAGCCGCCTTGCTTAGAAAAAAAAAAATGTTTAATAAGCTCAAGCAATTTTATCTTGATGCTTTTTATCCAATGTGCTTTAGTTAATTGATAAATGATATTTGATTAAATTTTGATGATGTTGGATTGCACACACACACATGAGCTTGCTAGGCAAATTTCTAAATTTTTATAAATACCACAAGTTTGGGATTCATGTTGTGATTATATGTTTGAGAATGGATTTTGTTGCATAATATGTGGTCTTAAAATTTTGTTTTCATAAAGTGTTTTGAATATTTGAGAAATTTGTGGTCCTCGTATATGAGATTGTTCTCATCATTAAAGTTGTCTTGTTTTTAATATTCAAAAAAGAATTTTTTTCCTTTAAATCTTGAAAAATTCCAAAAAGATTTTGTTTTATCTTTAGATAGGAATTTTATTTGTATTTAAAGTTTTTTTTTTTTTTTTGGGTGCTTTTATGCTGCCCCATGCGTTTTGTTCTTATATGTGTTCATGCGATTTGAATGGCAAAAACATCAGTTTTTATGTTTTTCGCTCGTTCCAGTTTTGGTGCAGTTTAACTTAAGTCACTTATGCATGTCATGTGCCAAATTTAAGACACCATTGCACACCCTAGACACCTCCAAGTGCCACCACTTGTTCCCATTCGCCTTTGGATGCATCGGTAAGACATTGCTAGTTTTTCTTCTTTAATCATAAGTTTAGATCTTTTATTGCATTTTGATGCTAGAAATGTAAATAATGATTCACTGAACCAGTTTGGGAAAATCATGAGGATTTGGTTGATTTTGGGTGATTCATTGCATTTGCGGTGATTGGATAAACATTGTTTAAGATTTTTTGAGGCTGTGTTCATATTTTTGGATTGAAGTCATAGGAGTCGACTTTTAAACTTGAGGTTAGAATTAATGCATACAAGTGTTTGAAATATTGCATCAACCAAGTTTTCTTATAGCCCATTTTTTTTTGACATGTTCTTGTAATGGCTTCAAGAAGACTAAGGTTCATGATTTGGAATTGTGATTGTGGTGAAAATTGATGTAATAGCTCAAGTCATTAAAGTTAATTTGAATGATCTTGAAGCTTTTGATCTTGGATGCTTAGGTGTTTATGATTTGGTTTTAGTGACATTGAGGATATTGATTGTTAAATATAGTTTTGGAGATATTTTGATGATCATGTCTATATTTGGATGTTTTATTTAGTGATGCTATTTTGACGATGATAATTATTTGTGGATAGATTTTTTAACGAGGGAGATGGATACATGTAGGTATTTATGTGAATGATGGATGATTTTATTTTCATGCTTATCTCTTATATTGTTCATATATGTCCATCTTGTGTGAACTTTTAGCTCAATTTTCGATTGGTATTGATATCCTCTATTAGTTTGTTCTTTTCTTCCTTTTATGCATAGTTTGTCAGTTTCTTACAAAAGGGGGGAGAAGATGTGGGATGTAAAAATGCAACTCACAGAAGAGGTACTTTATGTTCAAGGGGGAGATATCATGTGTAATTTTGAGCATATTGTTTCTATTTGTTTTGTAGATGGAACATGTGTTAAATAGCTTTCTTTTGTTCCACTTCTACTATATATTCATGTTTTTATGCTTATTGGTCTATCTTATGCATGGTTGATAGTATTATTCCTCTTCAGTGTTTATTCTCTCTTATTATTATTATTATTATTTTTATTTTTATTTTTTTTCATTTTTTGTTAAGCTTTATTTGTCAATTTGTAGTAAAAAGGAGAGAAGTGGTATATCTTTGAGGGGGAGAGTTACTGATGTTGATATTGATATCTTTATATTTTATTTTTCATGATTAAGCTTTCATTGTTTAGCATTGTGCTGGTTTACAGGTTATTTCCACTGAACACGTGCTCTGCTACCCTAATGAACCTTCGTTCCATTTTATTTATTTATTATTATTATTGTTTTCTATTTTGACAATCAATGTAATTTACTTTTCCTGTTTGAGTTAGATTACATGTTGTCTAGGGGTCTTGTCACGATATTGTCAAAGGGGGAGATTGTGAGATATAAATTTTGTAATTGACTAATTTCGTTGTCAAAACGCGTCGGATTGATTTGTAATTTTTGTTTTACTTTGAGTCTCAATGTTGGAAACGGAACAACAAGTGCAAGTATACTTCGATTCGATGAGAACATCATTTAGAGTAGGTATGTGAGTGAGGACACATTGCACATTTGTATTTTAGGTTGGTGGAGAGTGCGTTCAATTTTTCAAAGTCAAAACATTCTTATTTTTGCCCCATGCAAAAGTACAACTGATTTTACTTTAAAACAGAACCAGTTTCACTTTCTGAAATCAGAAATGGTCTCGGCAAAAACAAAACCAGTTGCATTTTGCTGATTGTGCGAGATTTCAGTTTTTGGTAACTTTTTAGTTTCATGTGAAACTTTTAGAGAAGTCCTTATGCAATTTTAAAACATCTTTTCATAGATTTTGAGGACTCTCTAGTCTATATAAGCCTCTCAAAACTTCAACCATAGTAGGGATTTTTAATGCTTCAATTGGAAAAATAAGGACTCGTCTTTTACACAATCGTTGAAGCTTTTTGAGATAGATTTTCAAAGAAATTTGATTTATATTTTTGAGAGCACATACTTAAACACACGAGTGATTGAGGGTGGTGTTCTTAATCTGATCCGAAGATTCAAAGGTTCCATTCAGAAGCAGGGTTTGATCTTCAACTACAAATTCAAATCAAGTTAAAAGGAGTAATAAATCACACTACGAAGGGGTCAAAGCATTCACGGAGTGTTCGTGATCAATCAGCAATCCTTCTACGGGGTTCAAGGGAGTAAGCCTGATGCCTAGGCGTTTGGACAAGGGAGTCGCAAAGCTTGAGAGACATTCAACTATTTGTTCTTTGTAGAATGGAGTTGGTGTGAGCCTGAGTTAGAGTCCATTGTACTTTGCTTTGAATATAGTGGATCATTTCGCTCGAGACTGCGAAAGTCTCCATGGTTTTCATCCCAGTTGCTCAGATTTCTTCCAACAAGGGTTTCCACGCAAAAATCCCTGGTGTCATCTCTCAAACTTTATTTACTTTACTGGCACTCTAATTTTGCTTTGTGGGTTGATGATCGTTTTATTTCGAAAAAAATAAAATAAGCAAAATGTGGTAAAAAGAGCAAGTTAAACCTATTCACCCCCATTTAGGTTATTTTTACATTAAACGTCCATTCCGCATAGCGCAACTCACAACTTAGTAGTGATAGAGATCAGATAGAGACTTGGCAGTGAAGAGCCTTTAGAGAAGTGAAGAATCTTTAGAGATTGAGCCACTTGAATGTTGAATTTGGTGGTTAAGAACGATTAGACTTTTGTTAATTTACCATTAAGCTTTACTTCATCCTTCTTAACCATCTCTAAAGACTCTTCACTGCTAAGTCTCTTTGATCTCTAAAGGCTCTTCACTCCCAGTCTCTCTATTTGATCTTCGTCTTTAAGTCTCTCTAATCTCTATCACCGCTAACTCTCTCTGACCTTTAGAGGCTCTTCACTGCCAAGTCTTTGATCTCTCTCTCTCTCTCTAAAGGCTTTCACACTGCTAAGTCTCTTTGATCTCTCTTTCTAGATCTATGGGGCTCTTCTTCACAGCTAATTTATAGCTACTTTGTAGAAGAAAAGAACATTGCTGAAGAAGTGGTGGGTGGAGCATTTCTCTCAACTTGCCTTCAAATTCTATTTGATCGGTTGGCCTCTCGCGAGTTCGTACGCATATTTTCCAAACGCAAGTTTGATGATGGACTCAGAAACAAGCTGCAGACAACCTTGTTGACCCTCCAACCACTGCTGGATGATGCGGACAACAAGCAGATCTCCAACAAATCTGTGAAAATTTGGCTCAAGGAGCTCCAACATGTTATCCACCAAACTGATGACTTGCTGGATGAAATTGCAACCAAAGCCCTAAGGGACAAGTTGGAAGATGCTGATCATGATCAGTCCCTAACGCAAAGCAGCAAAAAATAGGTTGGTTCAGTCAATTTTTTAAGTTTGATCAAGCAATCTTTGTTTTCCATTAATCCATCGGTCTCGACTTCCGTTTATTTGTCTAATGATGAGATTGGGTCCTGGATGAAAGTTATCATTAGTAAGTTGGGAGTGTTTTCTTGAGCAAACAAAATCTCTTAAATTGAGAGATGATGTTGAAAGGAAACCATCACAAAGGCTGCCAACCTCATCTTTGGTATGTGAAGATGAGGTTTGTCGTAGGAAGTACGACAAAGAGAAGATAATTCAATTATTGCTGTCTAGCAACACAACTGGGAATGAGATCCCTTTGATCCCCATTGTTGGCATGGGTGGGATGGGCAAGACAAACCCTGCCCAGTTCGTATACAATGATGGTAGAATAAATGACAATTTCCTATTAAATCATGGGTTTGTGTTTTTGATACATTTGATATTTTCATGATAAGAAAATTTTGGACGATGTCACCTCATCAAACAAGGACATCAAGAGTCTCGATCAACTTTAGACGAAGTTGAAAGAGAATGTGGCAAAGAAGAAATTTCTAAATGATTTAGATGATGTTTAGAATGACAATTACATTGATTGGGACACACTAAGAAGACCTTTTAGAGCTGGAGCACAGGAAAGTAGGATCATTGTAACGACAAGTAGTGGAGTCAATAATGCGCACATTCCTAGTCATCCCTCAGAGTAATTACCTTTTGAAGATTGTTGGTCATTATTTGCAAAGCATGCATTTGTGAATGGAGATTGTATGGTTTATCCTGAGCTAGTGAGTATTGGATGAGAAATTGTGAACAAGTGTGGTGGCTTACCTTTAGTAGTAAAATCACTTGAAGGTCTCTTGTGATCTAAATTGGAAACTGAGGAATGGGAAGATATATTAGAACACAAGATATGGGGTTTAGATCGCAGCATTCTTCCAGCTCTAAGATTGAGTTATCACATTATCTTGGTTCGCAATTAAAGTGATGCTTTGCACACTGTTCGATATTTCCAAACGATCACTGATTGGAAAAGAAAAGGTTAGTGCAGTTATTGATAGCCTTATATCTTGTTCAACAACCTAGAAACAACAATTCCGTAGGAGATGAAGGTAACGACTACTTTCGTGAATTATTAACAAGGTCTTTCTTTCAAAGACTAAGTCATCTTGTCACATATTCTTATTTTGTAATGTATGACTTGATCAATGACTTAGCACAAGATATATCTGGAGGCTTTCGTTCTAGGCTAGATTATGACAAGACACTTGTTCACATCTTTGAAAAAGTTTGTCATTTTTCATATGTTTGAGGTGAGTACGGTGCATTTGAGAAATTCAAGGTTATTAGTGAGGTTAAGCGTTAGACCAAATTCATGTCATATTAAAGAGCCGGATGTCGATATTGTTACTCCGGCAATAAGGTACTACATGATACGTTCCCAGTCTTGAGATGCTTAAAGGTTCTATCTCTGTCAAACTATTAGATTTCTAAATTGCCTCAAAAAAATTTGATACATTTATGCTATTTAGATCTTTCTGAGACAAGAATCAAGAAGTTACCTAATTCTGTAACAACCTTGTGCCATTTACAGATATTAGATTTTTCACAGTGTGAATGTCTGACTGACTTTCCTGTGAACATGGGAAAACTGATAAACTTGCGTCATCTTGATGTCAAAGGAACTAGATTCATTGAAATTCCAACACAAATGAGTAGGCTGAAGGATCTCCAACATTTAACATATTTTGTAATTTGGAAGTATGATGAGTCAAGGATTAGTGGGTTGAAGGAACTTTGCCATTTTTGGGGAAAACTCAATATTTTAGGGCTGGAAAATGTAGTAAGTGGTCAGGATGCATCAGAGGCCAATATGAAAGATAAGAAACATCTTGAAGGATTAGTATTGAAATGGGGTGGCTATACGGATGATTCAATAAGGGAAAGAGATGTACTTGACAAGCTACAACCTCATGAAGGGTTGAAGACTCTCAGCATCTTCAACTATGGGAGCGCAAAATTTTCGGATTGGTCATAGGGAGCTCATTCATCTTGCAACATGGTGTCCTTAGAACTTATAGACCGTGCAAATTGCTATTCATTGGCATCAGTTGGGCAGCTACCCTCTCTAAAATATCTAAGAATTGAAGGAATGAAAGCAATAACAAATGTGGGTCGAGAGTTCTATGGGGATGCTTCTTCTTCGATCAAAACCATTTTAATCTCCAGAGACACTAAGCTTTAAGCAATTGGAAGAGTGGGAGGAATGGCATGCATTAGGGGCTGGAGAGTTCTCTTGCCTTTTAGAGCTTTCTTTGGTTGATTGTCCCAAGCTGATCGGTGAATTATCCATCCACTTCCTATCTCTAAGGAAACTTGATATTTTTGAATTTCAAAGGCTCCTGCCCAATCAAGTTGGGCTGCTGCTGCAAGGCCTGCCTTCTCTTCAAGAATTGGAGATGTCAGAGATGACAAACTTGACAGAATTGCCCCCGCAATTGCAAAACCCTGTCTTCTCTTCAGAAATTGGAGATTTCAAGGATGCCAAACTTGAAGGAATTGCCTCCGGAATTGTCCCAGATTAATAAAACTTGAACAGTTGGACATAGAGAAATGTCTGAGCCTCATGTCATTTTTGGACGTGGGAACTGATGCTTAAGATTTGGATTATCAATGAATGTGAAGCTCTACAGACCATAATAGTAGCATCATCAGCAGAAGGAATGAATATGAATATGATGATGGGCATCAACAATATTTGTCTCGAAGACTTGCACATCTATAAATGTTTATCTCTTCTTCAGGTGTCTTTCCCCTTTGGTGATCTACCTCCCTCCTACATTGAAATTACTTTTGATAGAGGGTTGTAGAAGTTTAGAGTTTCCCCTGCCGGATGAGATGGAGCATAGTCACCACACATCCATTGCTGTTTCAAAGATAACCAGAAGTTGTGATCTTCTCAAGTCATTGTTGTTAGGCTTCTTCCCAACGCTTTCAAGGAGTTTGTTTAGAATAGAGGATTGCCCTAGAATGCTATCCTTTGCCCTAGGAGGACTGCCCACTCTCAATCTGACCTCCTTTCTTGTTGAGAGTTGTGAGAATCTGAAGTCGCTGCCGCAAGGAATGCACACCCTTTTCCCATCTCTTCAAGAATTGTCGATACATAACTGTCCTGAAGTTGAATCATTTCCAGATGGAGGTTTGCCAATTAACCTACGTGTCATTGACATCCATTATTGCAAGAAACTGATGAAGGTCCGGATGGATTGGGTTTTGCAAACACTCCCATCTCTTGGAGGATTCAATATTAGCGGTGAATCCTTGTCAGAAGTATTGTTGGAATCATTTCCGGAGGAGTGGCTATTGCCCACCACTCTTACCTATCTTGACATCAGTTTTCTTCCAAATCTCAAGAAACTCAACCACAAGGGCCTTCAACACCTCACCTTTCTTACACATCTATACATCACTAATTGCCCTGAGCTCCAGTCCTTGCCAGAAGAGGTGCTGCCCGACTCTTTCTCTTTCCTGATTATACGGGAACGTCCATTGCTGTAACCACGTTTCCAAAGGGAGAAAGGGGAAGATTGGCCCAATATTTCTCAAATCTGCCACATAAGGATCGATGGTGAAGAGATAGTAAAAATTCTGCCACATAAGGATTGATGGTGAAGAGATAGTAAACTTGGAGTGACAGACACTCATGCATGCTCGAATTGGATTCCTCTGGTTTCTATTCCATTCAGGTACTAAAGTTTCTACACTCTGTACTACAACATACTTGAAGTTGTTACTTTCTTCTATCTATTAATTTTCGCCCCCTTACTTTACTTAGGCTGTCAATGCCAGTGGTATTATGGCCATGCCCAGATGATCAAGTTTCAACTTTCTCCACATTGATGGTTCCACAGAAACTCCAATTTTCCATCAGGTATGTGCCTCCTCATTTTTGGCAGATACTATCTGAATTAATGTCAATTCTAAAACATACAGGATGGCGATTCTAACAAGTTTTCATCGGCAATGACATGTATAATAAATCTGGTTTAATTTGATAGACTTTTGTATACTAATTAGTAAGAATAATTTTCTCTTGCAGCTAAAAACCACCCTTAGGTCTCTGTTTGATTCTCAGAAACAATGATGAAAGGCAAAGGAAAATGGAAAAAGAAGGCAGAAATTAAAGAAACTAGTTCATAGGTAAAAGTATGTGAATTCTTTACTGGTTCCCAAACATATTCTTATTGCTCTGCATAGTTAATTGTTCCCTTTTCTTTAACCAAAGAGAAAAGAAAAGTAAAAGAAAAGAAAGTAAAAGCAATATTATTTTCGTATAAGTTATAAAGTCCTTTATTTTTGCTTCATATTTTATTTTCTCACAGTTTTCAATTACAAGTTACAAGACAAAAATAATGAAATACTATCAATTTCGTTTCTTTCCTTTTTAATTTCAGATTTTCAATGGATTCTCCAAAGAACTGCTTAACATCTGGTTTTGCGTGAAACTTGCAGTGTTAGTGAGGGAAACATTGATCTCAGGCAAGTCACATTTTTAATGAAATATTAGATCACAAACATCAATAGCAACTTCAATGAAGTTCATCATGGCATTTATCAATATTAAAGTTTGCATTAGTTACCATCCCTTTAATGAAGTGGGTGTCATTTCTCACAATTGACATTATTGAGTAGGCAATTATCCTTAGCATTCTAGTAAAATGTAACTATCTAAAAATTTTATACGAAAAGCTGTCATAAGAAATAAAGAGTATGCTTTTACTGACTTTAGTTGGTTGATGGCATTAGTTCTCTCAACTTCACTCAATTTTTCTTACATGACTTACTAATATTCCCATTTATCATTATTTCAGCACAACAATATTGTTTCTGACTGCATTCTTCTTCAAATCTTTGTCTTTACTGTTTTACTTGTGATTTTTTTATGTGAAAGAAGCTATATTGATTTGAGCATCCGTTCTTTATTCCTTTATGTCTTCTAGCTACATCTATTCCAATCTAAATGGAGCTGTTGAAGTTGCATGGATGCTAAATTTTATCCATTTGTTGTACCATGTTCCTGCAAGTCTTGATTTCTAGTTTTTTATTTTTATTTTATTTTTTTAATCATAATATCTTGGTTTCCAGTTTGGTTGGCTTAAAATTGATACTTGGTGGTGGTCTGGTGCTTAAAATGGAACTGTGATTATTTTGGAGGCACAACAGGGTGCGGAAGGCATCAATGGTCTTTGTAGGTCTTATAGATTCTCCATTAAGTTGTGTAAAGCTTTGGGCCTAGGAATTAAGTTGTGTAAAGCTTTGGGCCTAGGAAGCATGTATATAGGATATGGATACGACACGATACGGGTATAGCGATAGGGCACATCTCAAATAAACGAGATACGGATAGGGATAGGCTACGGCAATAAAAATGATAAATTATATTTTTATATATATAAAAACTAATTTTTGGACAGTTTCTTAAAATATTATGAATCTAAATGCAATCACTAACAAAACATAGGAGTTCGTTTCACAAAACATAAAACAAGTATCCCTAGTCATATATTTTGATTTTTTCTTAACAATTATACTATAATATTATTGTTGGAAAAGTTACATTTTAAGTTCAAAATTTGTTAAAAATGTGTTTTTAAGTATCTGAAAAGTATTGGATACATGGTCAAAGTATTTGAGAAGTATCGGATATGTGGTCAAAGTATCTGAGAAGTATCAGATACGTGTTAAAGATTAAAAAATATAATATAAAATTATGGACATGTTTAAGAAGTATTGGAAATGTATCCGCGAGTATCCGAGGAGTGTTGGTATCCGATATGGACACGATATGAGTACATCGACCTTGTAGAAGTATCCGTGCTTCCTAGCTTTGGGTTATCTGGTTTAACTGTTTTGGCATCTGCCATCCACTTTTTTGCAGTGTGTTGGGGGACATGTGGCATATTCTGGCCTTTTGGTTGAAAGTACTTGGCATTGTTTATTTTGTGTATGTGAAGGTGATTGGCCTTCTTTGATATGTATAAAAGGCTTAAAAATTCAGGCTTCCTTATCATAGTTGTGTGGCTGCATAAATCACTATTGCAGTTAGGGCAGTTATTGTTGCAGCTGGAGTCATGGGACTTCAGGCAAGTTTATATTCATTTTCACTGTTGGAAAACCTTGTAGGGTTTGGGTAAATATTAAATAATCACTGTGAGTTATTTGAGGCTAGGTCGTGTAACAGAAAGTCAAAGTTAGGGTTCTTTACATTGTCTTTGATTTTTTGGGTTTGTTTGAACGAGGTTATTAACATATCCGAACTGTTCAGTAACGATGCAACAAAATGATATATATTATAATATTGTTGAGAAAAGGTTGTTTCAAGCTTTGCAAGTTTATAATGATTTTGAGGTTCCGCAACATTTCCTACTCTTGCAGGTGGATGATTACTCGTGGACCAATGTACCTATCATATGGACCATTGGAGACGTTACAAATCGAATGAATCTTACTCCTGTGGCCTTGATGGAGGGAAAATGCTTCTGAGTATGTGTTTCATCTGGATCTTCATTAACTGTCATTGTGGAATTGCTCTTCTAACTTCATTATCATGGCTATGGCAAATTGATGCTTTCAATTCTTTTTTAATGCCTGTAGAGTACTGTTTTTGCTGTGTTCTGGTATCAATTCCCCCTTCTGATATGGCTATAGCAAATTGATGCTTTCAATTCTTTTTTAATGCCTGTAGAGTACTGTTTTTGCTGTGTTCTAGTATCAATTCCCCCTTCTGATATGGCTATAGCAAATTGATGCATGTTAATGCCTGTAGAGTACTGTTTTTGCTGTGTTCTGGTATCAATTCCCCCTTCTGATACATGCCTCTTCTTATTTTTTCCCACCTTGCTATAATTTTTTTGTCCGAATTCTACATCAATGTAGTTAATTTATTATTATTATTATTATTTTTATATATATTGAAGATAGTTTTACAAATTGTTAGAGATTGTGAAATAGTCACATTTAACTCACTTACCCTTCTGGGATACGAGTTTTTGATCTGGATTCAGATTTTGTACTTTAATTCAACATATCTATTTTGTCTTACAAGTTTATAATTTTTTTTGTGTTAGTACGACATAGACCTCTCTTTTGTATGGATCAGCTTATGTATTCACATTTTTTAATCCTCAAATATAGGGTTCGGTTTTGTGCTGATACAAAATATGCGACTTGCCCGGTGGCCCCCCTGTGTGTGCGCGCGCGCCCGCACAGGCACCAACTTCACTCAATTTAGATCACACACATCAGTAGCAATATTGATCAACTTCACTCAATTTCTCTTACATGAGCCACTCAGGCACATGTTGGAATCCTAGTTGCATGAATTATTAATTACTTTTATTTATTAATAAATCTTAATTGGTATCTTCCACCAGCTCTATGGTTGCTGATGATAGTAGTAGATATAGGGCACATATCCATTCTCTTTGGGTTTGAATCCGGAAAATCCCTCGATGTGCTATTAGTTGCAGTCTCTAATATATGCATGCTGGAAGAGAACCAATACAAGATTCATGTGCCTTGGGAGCTCAAAGTATAATAAGGTATGCAATATTGAGTTGCATCTCTTTGGAGGCTACAATGTGCCCGACTAGCCCCATGTGCAAATGGCATCACAGGCCTTGAAATGAGAGGTTAGTGCAAGAGATTTAGGTTTTAATTTTTTTTTTATTATGCTATTCTATTAGGGGATTTTTGTTTTTGAATTCATGCTCTTACAATTTTAAGATGAGAAATATAAGTTTGCCTTTTGAAGAGATTTTGCAATATTGAAGTCTGCTTTAGTTACCATCCCTTCAGTGAAGTGGGGGTCTTGAGCACAAATTGACATTTTTGAGTAGGCAATTATACTTAGGATTCCAGTAAAATGTAAATCTCTCATATTTTTATACAAAAATCTATAATAAGAAACTAAGAATGCTCTTACCTGACTTTAGATGGTTGATGGCAAAAGTTCTCTTACCCTTAATTAGTTATCCATTGATGGCACAGATGCCACCTTTTTTTTTTTTTTTTTTCAGTTTACGATGATAGTTAGAATTTGAGCAACCTTATTGCAACTGTCTCACATCTGTATTAGCAACTAAGATTGCTTTTTTAGAAAACTACTTAGTAATTAATGGTTAGATTATGTTTAATTTCTTCTCAGGTTGTGCTATGTAAAATGATACTCTTCATGATTTTTCTTTGAATGAGAATTTTTTGTAGCAGACGAGGGAAATGTTGGCTTCTCACTTTGTTTCTCTGTGTATGATGGTTTATTGATTCTGATATATGGTTCTGAAATAATATAAAATGATTCAAAAACCATGTGTGGTTTCTTGTTGTGCTGAGCATTAAATTTTGTATCTGGGAGTTAAGTGACACCAAATTCTTTTGTGGTTTCTGTTTAATTTCTGATTACTCAAACATATTTCAAACGAAGTTTTTTGTTAGCCAGAAGAGTTTAGACTATGAATTGCTGTGTGGATGGTTAACTATTTTTATGTATGGTCTAGAAGGCACTTAATCTATGCTTACTAAAACAATTTGCATTAAATCAACCTGAATAGTGCTCTAATTCAGATGGTGGTACATCTTCTCGTGATTTGTACTCCCAAGCAATGGGAGTAGAAAAATGGGCTGTGTTCGTATATATGGCTTGGTCCTCCACTTAAATGTCATTTGGGTCCCATGTCCTACTCGGGTGGAACTTTTGAGGAGGGTGACACAGTGAGGAAGAGGTGTGGGTTGTACTTGCAGAATTTCAACAGACAGTCTAATATGAAGGCGTAGTATGATGAAGAACTTGAGAGTCTAAAACAACAAATGGCCATGTTATTGCGTCATCATATGCAGACTCCGAATTCTAGTGGAGCGGGTAGAGTTGCCAATGACCTTGTGTGTCTTATACATGTAATCTTATTCTCTTTATAAATATTTATTTATAAGTAAATTTTATGGTTATAGGTTTTGAACTCTTCTGTCACTCAAAGGAGACTCCCCACATTTTGATTCCAGTCATGACACTCCATCTTTGGTGAGCACCCTAAAAGTCATCTTCAAATGTTAGTGCCTTATAATTTATATAATATTCCTATTTGATTATTACTATGCTCTGTTGAAATGCAGTGCAGTCCAAGCAGAAAAACAAGAGAGCAAGGCAAGTTAAGCAATATATATTGCATCCATCACATCTTATCACTTAACCAGAGCACTGTGATCTTATTTTGGAAATTATGTTTTAGATTCTTCATTGGGAAAACTAGTTTGTTGTATAAATAGATTAAGATTTGACATACTGAAACAGAGGATTTGGATGTTCTATGGTATATGTTGAATTTGAATGTTGACTGCATCTATTAATTCGCTTTCTGATATAAAAAAAATACTACAATTCTCATAAAATACCCTTGCTAAAACTTCAACAAAATCCCTCATATAAGGGTCAAAACCCACTACAGTCATCTTTTTATCTCTCTTTAGACTTCACAAATCGCAATATAGTGGCCCACTTGAATATGGGTTGACAAAATTTTTTCTAAGATTGCTTTTAGTTACTATTAATCATATTAAATTTTGAGTTTCTATTTTTCTTTCTAAATTAGAAATTTTATAAGCATACATGGTTCATGTTGGAATTTTTTTGATTTGAATTGCTTTTATTATGTTAGCATGAAAGTAATTGAAATGGGAGTATTTTTAAAAAAATAATAATAATTTATTTAATTAAAAAGGGGGGATGAGGAATTTTAGATAAAAATATCAATTTATTTAAAGTTCTTTTGTTTATTACGTTTTAAATTTTTTTTTTTCTCTTATTATTATTCAAAGCTGCCCATCTCAAATTATTTTCTGGCTTTGTCACAAACTTTTTTTCACAATAATAATCTCCTCTTTCTCTCTCTTTAACCCACATTCTACATTAGTTAATACTTTGCAATAAATGAATTGCATCTTCAATCCAATCTGTTTGGCTACTGAGAATACTAAGGAAAAGTAAAGAAAATACAACTTTGAGCTCCCAAGTTGTATATTGTTTAGCAATTTTTACCCAACTGAGCCAAATAGCTGTACTAAGGCTCCTTGAGAGGAGCTATTCATTTCCTTTACTGTTCCATATCGTGAATAATTCAAAATTAAAAATTCACTCTTCTTTTTCTTTTTCTTTTTTTTTCTCAACTGAGCCAAATACAATTGATGTTTGCATATAAATTTAGTGCAACATATATATGTGTATATCAATTTCAAACAATAATAGTTTGTGATGTTATATATATATATATGTACATGAAAATGAGAATTTGAGCTGATTTGCTGCTTTATACACAGCTTACGTTTTTTGCTTGGTAAAAACTTGGACAGAGCGACTAGGATAGTGGATCAACAAGGTGTGAAGAGGAGGATATCTGGTGAACCCAGTGGGTGTTCTATTTTTCAGGTTGATTGTGTGCCTTTCCTTCCATATTTTGTGAACATAGGTTTTTAGTTTCAGCCTTTAATTGTACAAATTCAAATTTTAATCTGCACCCGGCTCAGAATTGGAGTTCATTTGCCTTCAAATTGTGGAATTTTCACTGAAAATACAAAACACTTTGGAAGATTTAATTGGGTTTTAACTTCTTTTTATTTTCTTTATATAGACAAATGATTCAGAAAGTTGAGTTTGCTTTATATAGACATGCAGAGGTAAGGCTGTGTATATCTGACGCTCCTCAGATTCCGCAATGGCGGGAGTCTTGTGCACTAGGCTAACCCTTTTAGACAAATGATTCGGAACTTTGCTTTCATTTTTCAAATTGTGGATTTTTTGCTGAAAATACAGAACACTTTGGAAGATGTAATTGCTTTGAACTTCTATTAATTTGCTTTGTATAGACAAATGATTCGGAAATTTGAGTTTTACTTCTATTAATTTTCCTTGATAGACAATTCTTGATTTTTCGCTGAAAATATGAAACACTTTGGAAGGTTTAATTGCTTTTAACTTCTATTAATTTACTTTGTATGGACAATTGATTCAGAAATTTGTGTTTGACTTCTATTAATTTACCTTGATAGACAAATGGTTCAGAACTTTGCTATTAAATTCCATTTTTCGTTTTTCTTGCAAGAAAAACCAGTAGTTGTGATCTTCTCAAATCACTGTCACCTCCTTTTGTGTTGCGCGTTGTGAGAATCTGAATTTGCTGCCGCAACGAATGCACACCCTCTTCCCATTTCTTCAAGGATTGTTGATATTGGACTTCCAGAAATTGAATCACTTCCAGACAGAGGTTTGCCATCCAACCTACGTTACATTGACATCTATAATTGTGAGAAACTGATAAAGGGCCGGATGGATTGGGGTTTGCAAACACTCCCATCTCTTGAAGGATTCAGTATTGGAGGTACATCCTTGACAAAAGAAGTGCTGGAGTCATTTCTGGAAGAGTGGCTATTGCCAACCACTCTTTCCTCTCTTGAGATCAGACTCCTTTCAAATCTGAAAAAACTCAACCACAAGGACCTTCAACACCTCACCTCTCTTGAAACTCCAGACATTTCGTTCTACCCTATGCTCCAGTCCCTGCCAGCATAGGGGCTGCCCAACTCCCTCTCTTTCCTCTCTTTCCTGGATATATATGAACGTCCATTGCTGAAACCACGTTGCCAAAGGGAGAAAGGGGAAGATTGGATCAACATTTCCCAAATCTGCCGCGTACAGAATAATGGTGAAGAGATCATAGACTTAGAGTGACAGACACTTATGCATGCTCGCATTGGATTCCTCTGGTTTCTGCTCCATTCAGGTACTAAAGTTTCTACACACTGTATTACAACAACATACCTGAAGTTGCTACTTTCTTCTATCTATTAATTTTCTCCTTTGTACTTTCCTTAGGCTGTGAATGCCAGTGCTATTATGGTCCCGGCCAGATGATAAATTCTCAACTTTCTCCACATTGATGGCTCCACAGAAACTCCTATTTTGAGTCAGGTAAATGCCTCCACATTTTTGGCTTATACTATATGAATTAATGTCAATTCTAAAACATACAAGATGGTGATTCTGACAAGTTTTGTCATCGGTAATGACATGTATAAAAAATTTGGTTTAATTTGATAGACTATTGTATACTAACTAATAAGTATAATTTTCTTTTGCAGCTAAAAACCACTCTTAGGTCTCTGTTTGATTCTCAAAAACAATGATGAAAGGCTAAGGAAAATGGAAAAAGAAAGCAGAAGTTAAAAAAAATATTTCATAGGTAAAAGTTTTTGAATTCTTTACAGGTTCCCAAACATATTCTTATTGCTCTGTGTGGTAAATTGTTCTCTTTTCTTTAACCAAAAAGAAAAGAAAAGAAAGAAAAAGCAATTTTGTTTTCTTATAAGTTATAAGTCCTTTTTATTTTTGCTTTATTTTTTTATTTTTTCACTGTTTTCCATTACAAGTCACAAACCAAACAAGACAAAAATAATGAAATACTATCAATTTCTTTTCTTTCCTTTTTGATTTCAGATTTTCTATGGATTCTCCAAAGTACTGCTTAATATCTAGTTTTCATGAAACTTGTAGTGTTACTGAGGGAAATATTGATCTCAGGCAAGTCACATTTTTAATGAAATATTAGATCACAAACATTAATAGCAAGATTTGTCAACTTCACTCAATTTCATCAAGGCATTTTACAAACATCAAGGCATTTTGCAATATTAATTTTTGCATTAGTTAGCATCCCCAGAGTGAAGTGGGTGTCATTCACAATTGACATTTTGAGTAGGCAATTATCCTTAGCATTCTAGTTAAATGTAACTATAGTAGGCAATTATCCTTAGCATTCTAGTTAAATGTAACTATCTAAAAATTTTATACAAAAAGCTATCATAAGAAATTAAGAATATGTTCATACTGACTTTAGATGGTTGATGGCATTAATTCTCTCAATTTCACTCAATTTCTCTTACATGACTTATTAATATTCCTATTTATCCTTATTCCAGCACAACAGCTATTATTTCGGACTGCATTCTTCTTCAAATCTTTGTCTTTGCTGTTTAACTTGTGATTTTTACGTGAAAGAAGCTATGTTGATTTCAGCATCAGTTCTTTATTCCTGTATGTCTTCTAGCTACATCTATTCCAATTTAAACGGAGCTGTTCAAGTTGTATGGATGTTAAATATTGTCCATTTGCTGTGCCATGTTCCTGCAAGTCTTGGTTTCCAGTCTGGTTTAAAAATGATATTTGGTAGTGGTCTAGTACTTAAAATGGAACTGTGATTATTTTGGAGGCACAACAAGGTGCAGAAGGCATCAATGGTCTTTTTAGGTCTTGTAGGTTCTCCACTAAGTTGTGTAAAGCTTTAGGCTATCTGGCGTAAGCGTTTTGGCATCTGCTATCCACTTTCTGTGCAGTGTGTTGTGGGACTTGCAGCGTATTGTCACGGGCTTAGAGTTTCAGCACCACTCTAGCTGCTCCCGTGCGGCACCAAGATGTTGCTTCCACTCTCGCAAGTACTTGGTCAGCCTAATTCCCGTGCACACCTTAGCCAACACACTCCCCTCGTGCGCTTACTAGTGTTGTAGTTGCACTCGCCCTCTCCTCACTTGGCTTGCACACTCACACACACTAAGACACTTAAGTTGGCAAGGAAAGAACACTTCTATTACTTCAAATAATGCTTTGTACAAGGCTAGCACTCAAGCTCTCTACAAGGCTCTCAAGACTCACTCTAGGACTTGTTGGTTACAAAATGAAGTCCTACTCCTATTTATAGGCATCCCCATCCCTAATGGATGGCTATGATGCGTTCTAACCAATGGTGGAGATTGATTCTCTAGAATCTTCTTCCACCTTCTACACCTCTCCATATATATCTACAACATTCTAGAACCCTCCATACTACTCCACACAATTCTGGAGAATTCTAGAACCTTCCACACACTTCTAGAATATACTACACATATCTAGAATCTTCCACACAACTCTAGACTACTCCGGAAGACTCTAGAAACTCCACTTGCCATGCATCGTCCTCCTCAGCGTCTGCGTGTCGCCTGCGTGGCACAACCTCCATAGGCGGGGCGTGACATTCTCCCCCACCCATTTCCGTGACGCCCTCGTCACGGTTTCTTCAGCTGATCCAGCCTCTCGCAGGTCATCAGCACTTGCGCATATGTCCTTGGCCCAAACGTACGAGCGCCCTTTGGGAGATGTGAAGTCCTCACGAGCTCCATCGTGTTGACTGCCACCTCTGGACTCTCTTTCCTGCCCACGAGCGGCACCATGCATGCGGCCTTGCCTTCCTCGCCTCCAAGTATCATCAACGCACCAAGGCATGGTAGTGGCGCGGCGTTGTTCCTGTCCATGAACTCCAACCCCAGCACCATGTCATGGTCGTCCATCTCCGCAACTTGGAAGTCGGCCTTGCCCTTCCATCCTTGCATGCATAGCTCCACCTCTTTGCACACTCTACTCACGCGTGCCTCTTCGGAGTTGACGGCCTTGATCCATCCCTCCGTCTTGCGCATCTCCAAGCCAAGTTGTTGCGCCTCCTCTGGGGTAATGAAGTTGTGTGTCGCGCCCGTGTCCATCAACGCTTGCACGGCTTTGCCACCAACCTGCGCGTCCACATAGCGCACCCCAGCTACCTTCTTTGCCTTGCCCTTCTTCTTGGTGTCATGCGCCATGCTACTCAGCATCTGCATAGCCCCCATGCACCTGTCTTCGTCGCTGCCCGTATCATCCACCTTGCCCTTGCCCTTATCCTTCACAAGGGCGCTCATGGTCTTCTTGTTGGGGCAGTGTTGCAATATGTGCGGCCCTTCGCACAAGTAGCACTTCGGCTCCCACTTGCCCTTATCGCGGCGCTCCCCTTTGCCACTAGCCTTAGACCTCTCTCCATGGTCCTTGCCCTTATCATGGCGTGGGCGTCTTTCCTCATCGCTGTGCTCATCATCACTTGACTTGGGCGAGCCCCTTTTCTTGAAGCGACGGTCTCCCCCACCTTTGTCGTGGTCCCTCCTGGGAGACGTGGCCCTCTTGTCATCGCGCCTAAAGTCTTCAAGGCGCTCCGCTATAGCCATTGCGGATGCCAAGTCTCTAGGCTCCCTCCTTCTCAGCTCTGTGGCTACCCAAGACTGCAACCCATCAATGAACAAGCACACGCGTTGCCGCTCTGGCATCTCTGGGATCTCCAGCATCAAGTTGGAGTACTCCTTCACATACTCCCTTATGCTGCCCTTCTGCTTCAGGCGCCTTAGGTTGATCATGGCGAGGTCCTCAATGCACTCAGGGTAGAACTGCCTCTTGAGCTGCCTCTTGAACTCCTCCCATGTATCAACTGCTCTTGCGCCCCTACCGGTGAAGCGCTGCCTCCACCATAGAGCGGCAGTGTCCGTGAGGTACATAGTGCCTGTCTGCACCTTCTCCTCATCATCCTCGATCTCCATGCACTCGAAGTACCTCTCCATGTGCCAGAAGAAGTTGTCAATCTGGCGCGCATTCCTCGCCCCATCGTACTCCTTGGGCTCCGGCGCCTTCTTCTTCCTTGGCTTCACCACGACCTCGCGCGCCTGGGAGAACTCCTTCTTGCACTCGGCAATCTCCATGCGCAAGTCGTCTACCTGATCATACAAGTCCCTTTCCTTCTCTCGCGCCTTGTTGGCAATGTCGTCAATCAGCTCGTAGAGTTCCGCCATCTTTCTCTCGAGCCTGTTAAACTTGGTCTCTGTGTAGACCAAGTGTGTGGCAAGCTTCTCCTCCAAGCTCTGCTCCAAGACGTGGACTTGGTGGTCTCCTCCGCTAGCCATGTCTACTCCAACAAAGCTCCCTTGACGAACCTGCTCTGATACCAACTGTCACGGGCTTAGAGTTTCAGCACCACTCTAGCTGCTCCCGTGCGGCACCAAGATGTTGCTTCCACTCTCGCAAGTACTTGGTCAGCCTAATTCCCGTGCACACCTTAGCCAACACACTCCCCTCGTGTGCTTACTAGTGTTGTAGTTGCACTCGCCCTCTCCTCACTTGGCTTGCACACTCACACACACTAAGACACTTAAGTTGGCAAGGAAAGAACACTTCTATTACTTCAAATAATGCTTTGTACAAGGCTAGCACTCAAGCTCTCTACAAGGCTCTCAAGACTCACTCTAGGACTTGTTGGTTACAAAATGAAGTCCTACTCCTATTTATAGGCATCCCCATCCCTAATGGATGGCTATGATGCGTTCTAACCAATGGTGGAGATTGATTCTCTAGAATCTTCTTCCACCTTCTACACTTCTCCATACATATCTACAACATTCTAGAACCCTCCATACTACTCCACACAATTCTGGAGAATTCTAGAACCTTCCACACACTTCTAGAATATACTACACATATCTAGAATCTTCCACACAACTCTAGACTACTCCGGAAGATTCTAGAAACTCCACTTGCCATGCATCGTCCTCCTCAGCGTCTGCGTGTCGCCTGCGTGGCACAACCTCCATAGGCGGGGCGTGACAGTATTCTGGCCTTTTGGTTGAAAGAGGTCCTTGAAAGTACTTGATGCCTTGTCTGTTTTGTGTATGTGTTAACAACCATCTACCTTAAAATCTTAAGCTATTAGAGAGGGTGTAACTTAAATATTTAAATCCTTCAACACGCCTCCCTCATGTGTGTCCTTCTTTTGGTCCAACACATGTTTCGATTTTAAATTATTAAGGTGACGGTGAGGTTTGAACTCGAGACCTTTGTTCTGATACCATGTTAAAAACCATCTACTCTAAAAGCCTAAGCTTAGGCTTTTAGAGAGGGTGTAACTTAAATACTTAAATCCTTCAACAAAGATGATTGACCTTCTTTGATATGTATAAAAAGGCTTAAAAGCTCAGGCTTCCTTATCATAGTTGTGGCTTCATAAATCCCTATTGCAGTTAGAACAGTTAGTGTTGCAGCTGGAGTCACGAGCCTCTCAGGCAAGTTGATATTCATTTTCAGTGTTGGAAAACCTTGTAGGGTTTGGGTAATGAGGTTATTTGAGGCTAGGCCGTGTAACAGAAATTCAAAGTTATGGTTCTTTACATTGTCTTTGATTTCCTTGTTGATTTTTTGGGTTTGTTTGCTTAATGAGGTTGTTAATATATCACAACTGTTCAGTAACAATGCAGCAAAATGGTATATATTATTGTGAAAAGGTTGTTTCAATCTTTTAACTTTTATAATGATTTTGAGGTTCCACAACATTTCCTACTCTTGCAGGTAGATGATTACTCGCGGACTAATGTACCTAGCATATGGGCCATTGGAGACGTTACAAATCAAATGAATCTTACTCCTGTGGTCTTGATGGAGGGAAAATGCTTCTCAGTACGAGTTTCATCTGGATCTTGATTAACTATCATTGTGGAATTGCTATTCTTACTTCGTTATCACTATATGGCTATTGCAAATTGATGCTTTCAATTCTTTTTTAATGCCTACAGAGAACTGCTTTTGCTGTGTTCTGGTATCAGTTTTCCCCCTTCTGATACATATCTCTTCTTAATTTTTCCACCTTGTTATAAATTTTTTGTCAGAATTCTACATCAATGTAGTTAATTTTTTTTTTTTTTTTTTTTTTTATGTTGAAGACAGTTTTATAAATTGTTAGAGATGGTGAAAAAGTCACATTTAACTCACTTATCCCCTTCTGGGATACGAGTATTTGATCTGGATTCAGAGTTTGTACTCTAATCCGACATACATATCTTTTTTGGCTTACAAAAAAGATATGTATACATGCTTTTACAATTTTAAGATGAGAAATATAAGTTTGCCTTTTGAAGAGATTTTGCAATATTGAAGTCTGCTTTAGTTACCATCCCTTGATGGCATAATTGAAGTCTGCTTTAGTTGCTCACAATTGACATTTTTTAGTAGGCAATTATACTTGGGATTCCAGTAAAATGTAACTATCTTATATTTTTATACAATAAGCTATAAGAAGAAACTAAGAATGCTGTCTTTAGATGGTTGATGGCATAAGTTCTCTTACCCTTAATTAGTTTATCCATTGATGGCACAGAGGCCACCTTTTTTTTTCAGTTTACGATGATAATAAGAATTTGAGCAACCTTATTGCAACTGTCTCACATGTGTATTAGCAACTAAGACTGCTTTTTTAGAAAACTACTAGTATTAATGGTTAGATTATGTTCAATTTCTTCTCAGATAGTTCTATGTAAAATGATACCCTTCATGATTTTTCTTTGAATGAGAATTTTTTGTAGCAGTTGAAGGGAATTGTTGGCTTCTCACGCTGTTTCTCTGTGTTTGGTGGTTTATTGATTCTGATAGATGGTTGTCAAATAATAAAAAATGATTCAAAAACCATGTGCGGTTTCTTGTTGTGCTGAGCATTAAATTTTGTTTCTGGGAGATAAGTGACACCAAATTCCTGGTTTCTGTTTAATTTCCGATTACTCAAACATATTTCAAACGAAGTTTTATGTTAGCCAGAAGAGTTTAGACTATGAATTGCTGTGTGGATGGTTAACTATTTTTATGTATCGCCTAAAAGGCACTTAGTCTATGCTTTGTTTTTTAATTTTTTGAATTCTTGACTAACTCAACAAGTATTTGCTACAGAATGGATCTACTAAGAATAACAAACAGAAAATACAAGAGTCAGAAACTTCTGCATATAAAAGTATGAGTATGTGGCCATTCAAATCATAAAATTTTTGCGGCATCATGGTTATGAATATTGTTGTAATTAATTAATTATATTTTTTGTATTGCTTCATTCCCCCCCTCCCCCCAAAACAATTTGCAGTCACAACTAAAACAACTTGCAGCAAATCAACCTGAATAGTGCTCTAACTCGGATGGTGGTACATGCTCTCGTGATTTGTACTCCCAAGTAATGGGAGTACAAAAAATGGTCCGTGTTCGTATAAATGGCTTGGTCCTGCACTTAGTCATTTGGGGGCCATGTCCTACTCGGGTGACACAGTGAGGAAGAGGTGCGGGTTGTACTTGCAGCTTTTCAATAGACAGTGTCTAATATGAAGGTGTAGTATGATGAAGAACTTGAGAGTCTAAAACAACAAATGGCCATGTTATTGTGTCGTCATATGCAGACTCTGAATTCTAGTGTAGCGGTACAGTTACTAATAACCTTGTGTTCTAAGACATGTAATCTTATTTTCTTTATAAATATTTATTTATGTAAGTAAATTTTATGGTTATAGGTTTTGAACTCTTCTGTCACTCAAGGAGACTCCCCACATTTTGATTCCACTCATGACACTCCACCTTTGGTGAGCACCCTAAAATTCATCTTCGCATGTTATTGCCTTATAATTTATATAATATTCCTTTATGATTCTTATTATGTTCAGCTGACATGCAGGGCAGTCCAAGCAGAAAGCAAGAGACCAAGGCAAGTTAAGCAATGTTTATTGCATCCATCACATCTTATCACTTACCTACCAGAGCACTGTGATCTTATTTTGGAAATTATAATTTATATAATATTCCTTTATGATTCTTATTATGTTCAGCTGACATGCAGGGCAGTCCAAGCAGAAAAGCAAGAGACCAAGGCAAGTTAAGCAATGTATATTGCATCCATCACATCTTATCACTTACCTACCAGAGCACTGTGATCTTATTTTGGAAATTATGTTATTAATTCTTCATTGGGAAACCTGGTTTGTTGTGTAAATATATTAAGATTTGACATACTGAAACAGAGAATTTGGATGTTCTATGGTATATATTGAATTTGGATGTTGACTGCATCAATTCATTTGCGTTGCGATACAAAAAAAATACTACAATCCTCATAAAATACCATTGCTAAAACTTCAACAAAATCCCTCATATAAGGCTCAAAACCCACCACCGTCATCTTTTTCTCTCTTTAGACTTCACAAATCACAGTATAGTGGCCCACTTGAATATGGGTTGACAATTTTTTTTCTAAGATAGCTTTTTGTTACTATTAATCATATTAAATTTTTTAGTGTCTATTTTTCTTTCTAAATTATAAATTTTATAAGCATACATGGTTCATGTTAGAATTCTTTTAATTTGAATTGCTTTTATTATGTTAGCATGAAAGTAACTGAAAGTCTGAAATCACAGTATTTTCAAAATAGTAATTGATTTAATTAAAAAGGGAGGATGAGTAATTTTAGATAAAAATATCAATTTATTTAAAGTTCTTTTGTTTATCACGTTTAAATTTTTTTTTATCGTATTATTATTATTCAAATCTGCCTGTCTCAAATTATTTTCTGGCTCTGTCACAAACTTTTTGCCGCAATAATAATCTCCTCTGTCTCTCTCTCTCTCTCTCTCTCTCTCTCTTGCCCAGATTTGACATTAGTTAATACTTTGCTATAAATGAATTGTATCTTCAATCCAATGTTTGGCTACTGAGAGAACTAAGGAAAAGTAAAGAAAGTGCTACTTTGAACTCCCAAGTTGTATATTTTTTAGGAATTTTTACTCAACTGATCCAAATAGCTGTACTAAGGCTCCTTGAGAGGAGCTATTAATTTCCTTTACAGTTCCATATCGTGAATAATTCAAAATTAAAAATTCCCTCTTCTTTTTCTATTGATGCATTTTCTCAGTAACCAAACAGACTCTAGGATTTTGGGAAAGGCGAAATGAGAATGAATGAAAGCAGTTTGGTCGCAGAGACGGTGTGGAGAGACATTGAGTCGACCCGTTCAGGTCCTTCTCTATGTTCGCTTATCTATTCCATGTTCACATTGTTTAATTTCTCTCCTACTAGATACTGATTGTTATATTCTCTCTTTCTCTCTCTCTCTCTCTCTCTCTCTCTATATATATATATATATATATATATATATATATCTGCGGTGTCAATATCTATTGATTTGGAACGGAGCAGTAACCAATGATCAGCTCTCCATGTTAGTATTTGCTTCTATATGTGTATTTTGCCTCAATTGATTATGAAGCATCAATTGATGTTTGCATATAAATTTATTGCAACATATATATGTGTATCTATATATCAATTTCAAATCATAATCGTTTGTGGTGTTATGCATAAATATATGAAAATGAAAATTTGACCTGATTTGCTGCTCATATACAGTTTACGTTTTTTGTTTGGTAAAAACTTGGAGAGAGCGACTAGGATAGTGGATCAACAAGTTGTGAAGATGATATCTAGTGAACCCAGTGGGCATTCTATCTTTCAGGTTGATTGTGTACCTTTCCTTCCACATTTTGTGAACATTGGTTTTTAGTTTCTGCCTTTAATTGCACCAATTCAAATTTTAATCTGCACCCGGCTGAAAATTGGAATTCATTTGCCTTCAAATTGTGGATTTTTCACTGAAAATACAGAACACTTCAGAACGTTTAATTGGGTTTTGACTTATTTTTATTTGCTTTTTACCTTGATAGACAAATGGTTCAGAACTTTGCTATTAAATTCCGTTTTTCTTGCAAGAAGGTAAACTAATACTGGGTTATGATTTATATTCTCTTCTATAGGTTGTGGTAGAATATGGATGGAGGAATATTTCTGCTTCGCGGAACACTATTCTTGTTTTTCATTCTACTACAACATTGTAAACAGAGGAGAGCAGCTTTGTGTGAGCTTTGCATCATGCTTCTCCATAATTTTTGTTGGCACAAACTTTCATGATTCTTATAATCTATCTCTTCTGTTTTTCTTTGCAGTGTAAGCATCAATTAGCAGCAAGACTTGCTGCATCCGTAGGAGCGTGTGTTGATGTTAAGGTGTCTGATGAGGAGCTAACTTTACTGCTTTCCAATATCTGAGGTATTTGGACAGAAGCTGCATTTGCATTTGGAGTTGAAGGGGTACTAAACTGGTTTATCAATTGTTTTACATGTTTTTTTAACTTTTTGAATTACTGCTTCTGGAATCTGAAATTCAGTACTCTTGGTTATGCTCAAAGTTTTACTTTTTAGGCACTTTAAGCATGGTAGTTGAGCTTTGCATTCATTTATTCTTTGCTTACTGCAACTTAGCAGCTAAACAGGTTACATAGAATGATTTCAACAATCTTGCTAGATTGTGTGTGTTGGTTCAATTTTTTAAATTAAAGATACCATTGGCCGTTGAGATCATAGCTTTGTAAGGTGCATCAAGTCTCCGTTCAAATAAACACGTGCTTTGAGTTGTTCAAAAATTAGTAACTCTGAAAGGTTTACTATGCTCTTTTTACAGCTTGCTTCAACGTGTGGGTGGTTAGCACTCTGGACTTTGAATCCAACTACCTGGTATCAACCACGGTGACATCTGCATAGGGGGTGTGTGAGAGAGAGATAAAGGCTAGCTCCTCATTGGTTATCGTTAAGGCATAGCTGCTTATTTCTGTCTTCCTGGGATTAGGTTATTCTTTGATTGCTTTGAAAAGGTCTAGCGCAAGAAAATTGGTGCAATTATGTTTAGTTCTGCCTTCCTGGGATTAGGTAGAATCTTATATCTGCATTATACAAGTATGTCGTCTTCTATAAGTAGAATCTTATATCTTCATTATTGGGATAGTTTGGAACAATGATAGGTATACAAGTGTATTGCTATGCAATGCACTGCTTATTGAATTAAACAGAGAGAATGGTGATCCTTTTTAGAATGTTATGGTTTCTGTTTTTAACTATTTTACTGTATTAGCATTATTTTCTAAATCAATTGTCCATATGCGTGTTATATATATGGATGATGGGGTGAAATTATTATATGTGAATTATGGTAATGAGCTAGCATCTGCTTGGAGTACACATCCCAGAGAAATCATATAGTACACTGTGAATTACATGCTAGTAATTGATGTTCAACCAAATCTAGGATCTTAGTGAGTCAGCTTTTCATCTAATATGTGTGTGACCACCAAGTGTAATGTGCTAATAGTTGATATCCATATTTTCATCTTGTTTGTAATATGTTAGTACCAAATGTAATGAAAAATGCTTTAGTATCAGTTTTTATAAACAGTGTAGTCACAATAAAGTAAGGGAAGTTTTCGAGAAAAAAAAAACTGACCTTTATATGTTGAGTTGAGTTAGTTAAACTGAAGAATTACTTAATAAGCAGTTTCGTAACTATTTAATTTGTGGATTATTTATTTATTTATTGAAATTCACAAAAAGTTATTGAGGTACATTTTCAGGACAGTCATGATAAAAGGCAGCAAGGAATATGGCAATAGATATAGTTTCTTAGAAGAATTTCTTGTACTTAAAACTTTTTATGTACTTCATCGTTTTCTCTGTAACTCAAAGAATACCTCGAGACCTATACTAGAAAGACTTTTGACTTGTGCTTTTGTTGTTCGATCTTGAATTGGCCGATCTTGTTCCCATTTAAATCAAGCGGTTGTTTCTGCCACGATGTGTTTCAAAGATGATGCGTGTAGTTGTCCCTTGATGAGTGATGTGCTCACAACTCTAGCTAATTTATCTGCTGCAGGGCCAAAGGTTGGAGCATTGTCAAATCCCTCCACTGGCATCATTGGTTCGAGTATGAAGTGATAGGTTGATCGAAATTCATCGCAGTGAAGTCAGTGACAGGAAAGGCTATCAGGCGGTAGCAAAACAGTAGGACCGGGTTCAAATTTAAGGCACCACAAAATGAGAGCCTTGGCTAGGGCTACTTTTTTGCACTTACCATTCCCTGTTTTGGTATCTCTTAGTGGATGTGAATCTATAACCTTTTTTTATTATTATAATTTTTTATTTATGATTATTTTCAATTGCGAGTAGGAATGAATCCTTGTGGAATGATAAAACTGAGATGCATAGAATCGACACATTTCGTGGGTACTGTGTTTTATGTGATCTCTATGTGTCATGAATTCATGATCATCGTAATACACAATGAAATAGATAAACCTTGCTTTGTGAAAAATAAGAGTTTTTTTTAGCTTATTTGAATTCTATTAATTTTATAGTTTGCAGAATGTGATGGAATTTTTTTGAAAGATTATATGAATGCAAATCTTGACACTTCTCTCATATGTAAAAAAGGGAGGGGAAAAAAAAATCTTTAAGTGTCAAAAAAAAAAAAAAAAAAAAAGGGGAAAATCACAGGAGTTATCTATTCAATTAAAATTTTGGATGAAAAAAGAAATAAATTTCTACAAATCGGAGGAGAAAAAAAAAAAAAAAAAAAGAACAAGCCAATGCATAATTTTTCCAATTGGTGAGATACTACTTAAATGAGAAATCAGAATTCAAACCAGAATTTTTTTCAAAAAGGATTTTAATTGCAAATCATTCATTATTGGTTGGTTCATATTTTTAGTGTCGCAAGGACCAACCTCTACATGGAGTTTTGAACCTTTATTACTATTTCATCGGGTCAAAGTCATGATGTTTTGAAAAAATATAGTTGACCAAATGCTTATATATGGAGTTTTGAACTTTCATTACTATTTCATCATGTCAAAGTCATGACCAAATGCTTATATATGGAGTTTTGAACCTTCATTACTATTTCATCGGGTCAAAGTCATGATGTTTCGAAAAAATATAATTGACCAAATGTTTATAGAGATATAGAAAAATGTTGTTCATTACCCAAATTACATTTACTATTTTTAGATAAGTTTGTGGATGTAAATAATACTATTGTACACAAATATACAACTCTTATGCACGTAGTATCATATTTTGTGCAAATCTGCCATCAAAATGTTCTTCAAGGAAAAAGATACATGCGCACAAAAAGTGAAACTTGTGTATCGAGTGGTACCTCTGTATTCAAGAGCCGTAGTATCTGAAAATAATAAGAGTATTTTAGGCTGAACTCCGATACTTCATTCGGTATTTATAATGAATTATTTTGTTTGTATGTATCTTTTTTATGCTGATATATGTAAAATAATAATAAATAAATAAATAAATAATTGATATTGATATAGTAAGCATTTTTGTTCACCAAAAAGACAAAATAATGTCAAGGGCACAAGTGAAAAAGACGAATCAATTCGGCTGAGAGTTCGTGGGATGAGAATCATTACATTATTATCCAGATGTTTCAAACAGCGTGAGCATTATATTACATATAGAGAGAGTGTTACAAAATATGATAAGTATTGGAGAACCTAGTAGAAAAATCGAGGTGGAGGCTGTTATGTATACCAATGGTGAAAGGTGACTCTTCATCCTCTGTGAGAAGGAAGTTGCAGGATAAAAAAATAAAACATTCTTTTACTTTATCATTTCTCTAATTAAACACATCATTGTAAAAATACTTAATTCACTTGGGCAAGACAACAAGAGAGGGTGTGAACGTAGAGAACTCATATTCCTTCATAGTTTGGTGAGGAGCAAATCAGCTCTCACCTCCTTATATAGGCACTTTGCCTTACACAGAATGACTAAGATATGCACAAAGTGTTACGATCCAACAGTCGGGAGATTTCTAGCAAAGGATTTTAAAATCCTCTAAAGAATGGTTAAATATATCTACACTCTGAATGACTTGTCTATATAATTTTATGCAAGTTCAAACTACTCTACACAACTTTAGACAATTTTGAAAGGGTCCACACTTTTGTAGAGGAGTGTATAGAAATCTAGAAAGTGTCGTGTTCATGTAGACTGCCATCACGAGGTCCGTGAATTTTAGCAATCTCTTCGTCTGATTTGTTCAAGGGCCGTTAATTTTTTAGCACAAATAGTATATTACTTCAATGCCCTTATTAGTGTTTCAGTCACCCTTTTGGCAAAGCGACACATTATTGGTATTATTGTTAGTGCTTGGTTAGCATGTTTCTTTAGCCCAGTCACAATCAACACCCCCACCCCCTCCCTTTGTCTCAAAATAAGAAAAACAAAACAAGAAAGTTATCTTAAAGCTGTATATATGGGTGTCTTATAAATTTATTTCTAACATAAATTCCAACATATATGTGACTGAATACGGTTCAAAAGAGAGATTTGGCTGGAGATGATCCATTTCCGTGTTGACTTATACAATGATAATCTGATATCAATATAAATAGAGTAGACAATTAATATCGAGTTACAAATTCCATTATCTAAGGCCAACTTAGCTTATGCAGTTTTTGTTTACAACATTTGTAGTATATATTTAACATGAACTACTAGATGTCCTCACCCCAAAACTCTTGACAAGATTTATATGGACCTCCATTCCATATGAATTCGAGTTAGGCACGGATCCACAGTGGGCTCAGTGGAGGCATCCATCCACAGAAAATTTTTATTATTATATTTTACATCTTTAAATTTATATGTTTTTTTGCATTTATATTCATAAAAATTTTAAATTGCCCCTATTGAAATTATATATAAAAAACCCTCTATATAAATTTGTCCCCTCATGTGAATTTCTAAATCCGCCCTCCTGGTAACCTGGCCTTCTGTTGTGGAATTTGACTGATCTTATGGGAGTCCTGTGGGCACAGTATCCAATAAAATATTGAAGCTTTTCAAGAACACTCGCTCCTTCCTCATAAACTCATCTCAAACAAACCTTTACATGCACAAAGATGAAGGCAACTATTATTCTCTCTCTGTATTATATATATATACACACACACACACACACAAATAATCTCATGCTCATCAGTGAGCAAAAATAATTATCCACACCAAACATGGTGATAGTTAGAAATGCACATGCTTGTTATATTTTTTTGATAGTTATTTTTTTTCGCACTAAATCATATCTAACGGTTATCATTCTTGATGTGAAGGAATTAGTTTTTTGCACACCATTAAACCAGAGTTCATTACTCATATATATATATACACATGGAAATTTTACCTGAGCAAATGTCTTTCCCCTAGCCTATCTTTTAGAATCTCACAGTCCAAGACTTGGTTGGTTCCCCATAATATTCCTTTTGCTCCTAAAGGTGAGACATGAAGACTTGAAGCTACTCCAAGGTCCACAGCCAAACTCCACCCTCATAATAAAAAAGTACATGCAGCGTGTGTACGTGTATGTATATATATAATATATGCATAGATGTATGGCTTCACCAAGAGATCGACGGTTCAGTGTTGTAAAGAGCGGCGGTTGTTGAAGTGTCTGTAGCCAAGTTTGATTGCATGGAGGATGGATTCTTTCATGGTTTAATTTCGTTGCAGCAAAAGGGTATACAACTGTTTCAAATCCCAGCACCGGAATACTACTTGAACCAAACAATCTAACTTTGGGAATAATATTGCTGCTGCTTCCCTCCATTTTTCTATATATTTTCTTGATTATTTGTGCCGTTACAAAACAATTTTAATTCAATTCCTTATGTGTGTGTGTGTATATATATCTATATATATATATATAGGACCAGGAGTATATTACTGGATGCTAGGACCTATATGACATTCCTCAAAATACATATGTATCATTAAGATAAGGATTCAAATCTAATAGTCTAACCTAGGAGTGCAACCAGGATCGATTAAAGATTTACTCTTCTCTAAGGCATCCAACTCTATTAGGTTTAAGAACAATTTATCCTTAAGAGACTGACCTGTTTAGTTTTCAGGACTAACAATTAAGTAACAAAAACAGTGTTGACCAAATGCTGACGTTGACATAGACTAGAAAAAACTGTTTAATAAAAATATTATTGACCAAATGTTGACGTGGATATAGAAAAACATTTTTCATTTGTCTAAACTATCTATACTATTTCTATTACCACTTTTGTACAAGCAAGTACTACTCTTGTACACAAATATACCACTTTTATGTGCATAGTTTCCTTCTTTATTTTATTATTATTATTATTATTATTTTTGTGTAGACCATTTTGATGACATGACCTAACTGGTACCGAAAAATAGTAAGGGTGATTTCGGCAAATGAATAATATTTTCTCTTTTTATGTTCACATCAACATTTTAGTCAATTTCATATTTTTTAAAATATCATAACTTTAATTCCATAAAATGATAAATAAAGATTCATAACTTCATGTACACTTAATAATTCCTAATTTTTATGATAGATACTAATACAATAATTAAACCTAACTAAACATGGATCGATTTGATGAATACTAACCCAACCCAAAATAAACTAAACATAAACCAAGGTGAGACTGACCAAACAGAAAAATCAGATTCATACAATAACTTCTTGTATTGATGTGGAGTGTGAAGTACTTGTACTGATGGATAAAGTAGTGTTTTGGCAACATCCCCGCTGTCACAGTAAAGGTAGTCTTTGCAAATTCTTATATATGTATAAAGAAAAATACACATATACAAACTGGCTACAAAAAGCTAGGCCTATGGGACAAACAAGGAGGCCAACAAACGAATGGTGAGTAACCAAATTTCCCATTCTCTCTCCGTCCCATTGTGTTAACTATATTTATTTTTTAAAAGTTTAAGTACACGCATACGCACCTCCAGTCTTCCACAATATTGTTCCGACTAGAACTCTCAACCTTTTCTTTGAAGAAGCGAGTCATACTGTCCAAGTTAAATGCTCATTGGCTAATAAACTTCCATCTCTCTGTCATCCTTGCTCTTGATTTCAAAAAAAGAAGTTTGTGAGAAATATTTACACTTTTAAAAGATATTGTGTCATAATTGTCTTTGTTGAATCTAATTAGCCAATAAAATAATCTAACCTAATTACTATGAACATTTATTATTATTTTAATATATACTACAATATGGATACTGTATTTGAATTTTTTTTTTTTAATTGTATTGTCCCAATTATTCTCATTTTCATAAATTTAGTCATCTATTATCTCAATCTTTCATTATATTTATATTTTATACTTAGGGCTGCAAACGAGCTAAGCCGTTCGCGAACTGCTTGGGCTCGGCTCGTGAATTATTCGACTCGAGCCGAAATATGAGACTCGATTCATAAACGAGCGAAGTCTGAACATCAGTAGACTCGACTCGTTAATTCATGAACCGTTCACGGACTGAGTTCGATAATGCGTTTGCGAACATACTCGATTATAATATATATATATATATCCAATTATAATATATAATTTTATGTTATGAAGGCTTAGTCCACAGGCCATTAATTTTTTTAGTCCTATATGTTTTAGACCCAATTTTATCATTTATTCATTTTAAAACAAAAATCAAGCCTATCTGTACAATCAAACCCAAACCCATGTCTTATGTCTAACCCTAATCATTTTCCCTTTTTTCTAAAATTATCAG